ACTCAGTCCAGGAGTAGACCAATTTTTTTTTTTCCAAAACATGTCAAAAAAGTTGGGACTTCCTTTTCCTGGTTGTTTCATGTGATTAGATTTGTTGCAGCTCCCTTGACAAATTTTTCAGTTTTATTGAGCGTTACTCTTTCTCTGTGCTTAGCTACACCAGTGCCTGTGCATATGTTGCCTGTGTTCCTTCTCATTTTCTGTTGATGTATATTTTAGTATTCTGAGAAAAAAAGTGACAAAACTTGTATTGTTATTAGGAGAGGTTTAACAATCCATCTAATGCAATATTTCAATGAGTTCCTGCTGTTGTCTGACTCAGTTCTCTTTCACGCAGGACCTCCGAGTGTTCGTTTCAAATTGGACCCATCCTTATTGTGGATGAACCTTTTTCGGTAAGACTTTCACGCTGTCAGTGCGCGATTAGCAATTCTGCAATTGTGATGTTAGATTCAAGCATACCATTCTTGTGTTGCAGATTGATGGTGGCTTAATGACCCCAACCATGAAAATCCGAAGGGACAAAGTTGTAGCTCAATACAAGGAGGAAATAGCTAATCTTTACAAGTGAATATGACCATGATTACTTATTTATATTTGATGCGCTGATCATATATAGTCTTTATGCACTGTTAAGGCATCAAATGGTGTCATCTCTAATTGAGAAATAATTTTAAAATTAAATATTATTATTTAAAAATAAAAAATAAAAAAAACTTTCTGTCTCCAAACTCCTCCTCTTGTTCTTCTTCTTCTCTTGTACTCTTCTTCCCTTAACAATAATAAGTATAAAATCCTAAATATATCATTTTGAAGTTAGTCTCGGTCTCTCTTGTTTGCAGGATTTCAAAAGGGTTTGGACAGTACCACAACTCCAATAGACAATAATATTGTTTCAATTGGTTTGAGCTTCATGGTCTTGCAGCAAAAAAATTATTAATAGTGTTACAAAAAATTATATTTCTCTAAATTTTTAAAAAAGTAATATTTATTTTTAAATTTTTTAAAATTTAAAATTTATTTTTTATGAGACGGTATCTTTTGATGTCCCAAAAATTTTACTCGAATTGAAGATAATGTTAAAAGGCCCAAAAAGAATATAATATAATGTATTCTTCGCATCGGAGGCTTGGCTTCAACGTTCAAAGGCGCGAGACAAGCAAAGAGATTGTACTCAATTCAAATTCCCCTACGCCCATTGCCTCATTTGAGAAGCAAAAGCTAATGTATGCCAATTTTTCACTATCTACACCAACTCCAAATCTGTGCCAAACACCATTCTCCGTCCGTCACCAAGCAACTCCATGCCCACTTCATCAAGCTTGGTCTAACCCACTTTTCCCATTTACTTAACACTCTCATTAACGTCTATGCCAAATGCACTCCTTCAAGAAGCTATCCAATTATTCGATGAAATGCCCCAAAGGGACCATGTTTCATGGGCTACGGTTCTCACTGCTCACAACCAAGCCAACTTCCCGGACAAGACGCTCTCTCTGTTCCCCTTCATGTTTCACTTGACAGGTTGTTGCCTGACGATTTTGTTTTTGCTAGCCTGTTTCAAGGCTTGCGCTAGCTTGGGGCTATTAAGCAAGGCAAGCAAGTTCATGCAAATCATTTGGTGTCCCCATTTTTTGATGATGATGTTGTTAAGTCGTCTTTGGTTGATATGTATGCAAAATGTGGTTTGCCAGATGAGGGTCGAGTCGTTTTTGACTCTATTAAGTTGAAAAATATGGCTTCTTGGACTGCTATGTTATATGGTTATGCCAGAAAAGGGAGAAAAAAAGAGGCTTTGGAGTTATTTTTGAGGGTTCCTCTGAAAAATTTGTTTGCTTGGACTTCCTTGATATCTGGGCTTGCACAGAGCGGAAATGAGGTTGATGCATTTGGTTTGTTTATTGAGATGAGAAGGGAAGGGGTTGATGTAATTGACCCCCTTGTTCTTTCAAGTATAATTGGTGCTTCTGCTAATCTAGCGATGTTGGAACTAGGAAAGCAGGTTCATGGACTTGTTATAGGGCTTGGATATGAATCTTGCATGTTTATAAGCAATGCTCTTGTGGACATGTATGCAAAATGTAGTGATATACTGGCAGCAAGAGATGTTTTTAGTAAGATGTTGCACAAAGATGTTGTTTCTTGGACTTCAATGATAGTTGGGGCAGCTCACCATGGACAGGCTGAGGAAGCATTGTCCTTGTACAATAAAATGGTTTCACTTGGAGTAAAGCCTAATGAAGTAACTTTTGTTGGATTGATATATGCATGTAGCCATGTTGGTTTAGTAAACAGAGGCAGTGAACTTTTTAAGTCCATGACTGAGGATTATGGAATTCATCCTTCCTTGCAACACTACACCTGTTTGTTGGATCTTCTTGGACGATCTGGATACCTTGATGAGGCTGAGAATATTATTAACTCAATGCCATTTAAGCCTGATGAGCCTACCTGGGCAGCATTGTTAAGTGCTTGTAAGCACCATGGGAATGCCAAAATGGCTATTAGGGTTGCTGACCATCTTCTGAGCTTAAAACCTGAAGAACCTTCATCATACATCCTGTTATCTAATATTTATTCTAGTTCCAGTTTATGGGAACATGCTTCAAAAGCAAGGCACTTGCTGGAAGCTATGGACGTAAAAAGGGATCCAGGTTATAGCTACGTGGACTTTGGAAAAGAAAGCCAAGTGTTTTATGCTGGGGAGACATCTCATCCCATGAAGGCTGAGATTTTTGGTTTGCTGAAGGAGTTGGATGTAGAGATGAGGAGAAGAGGTTATGTTCCTGATACTAGCTGTGTTTTGCATAACATGGAACAACAAGAGAAGGAGAGGCAACTATTTTGGCATAGTGAGAGGTTGGCTGTGGTTTATGGGCTGCTGAAGGGTGTTCCAGGAACAGTAATAAGAATAGTGAAGAATCTTCGTGTATGCGGAGATTGTCACACCGTCTTAAAATTCATTAGCAACATTGCAAAGAGAGAAATTGTTGTCCGAGATGCCAAGAGATATCACCATTTTAAAGATGGGAAATGTTCATGCAATGATTTTTGGTGAATTAATGATTAGTTTGCAATTTTCCTTTGCTTCTTCATATGTGTTCTGCCTCTTGTGCAAGAGAATTCCCTCTGCATGTCAAGTACATTTGCATCTATGCGTCCCCCTTTTTGTCACTTCCAAGATGTTTAACATTTGGAGCAATATACATGTGCTTTTAAACCATTTGTGCTTGATTCATATAGAAATGCATGTGTGTGTTTGTTTGTGTATATATATATATATATATATATTCTCCTTGCTGTATACTTGCAGTTTCTAAATTTTGATGGTATGTTTTTAACTGTGTTCAAGTAAATTTTTCTTGCCATCACTGTTAGTTATCCTCTACATCTTAACTGCCTGATGCGCATGCTCAGTTCCTTCCTTCAATATGACCAAGTGCTGCATGAAAATTGGTGACCTTTTTCAGGTTATATATTTTTGAAAGGTAAATTTGACAATAGCAAATTTAAAAAGACATGGGAAAAAGGATCTATGTAATAATTTTGGAAAATACATAGAGAGTAAAAGCAGGTGAATTATGCTATCCTCTATGTATAAATTTCATAGGCTGCAAAAACAGATTTTGGAAAATTGGTTCCTTTCTAGAACAAAAGGGGAGTGATCTCAGACCTACAGTCACCATCAATGTTGACAATATCTTTCCATTAGAAAAAGAAAATAAATTATTTCTAATTTCCTTGAAATTTTCCAAATATGATCTCCTCGTTTTTAAGCGGACATACTATAGAATTGTTCATTTAGATTCTTTTTAAATAAAAATATTTAGAAAATTTTTAATTCGAAATTAGTGCAATTTTTAAGAATAAAAAATTAAAATTTATATAGTGTGATAATTTTTAAAATTAATAAAAGATAAAATTGTTTAAACAATATTACTATGTAATCAAATTAATAGAAACATTAGTGATTAAACTTATATGTCTAAGATATTCTTTTGAAATGAACTGTTTATTTGCAACATTAAATTATTAATGGATTCATGTGCAATTTAAGTCAAAATTTTAAAAAATTAATATATTATAACCTAAAAATATTTATTCAGCATTAATTTGTACATATTCAATTTATTTGTACCATATCCCACGTTAACATCATTACCTATTATCCACAAATTTTGGTCAAGGCTCCCTAATTGAGATGGGCATTATCCTTTTCTTTTTTTCTTTTTTTTTTATTTTCAAGACATTTGGCATACGATTGTTTTTTCCTTAATTATTTAATTGAGATTGGATTATCCATTTTTCTTCTCTTTTGAAGAAATTTGACATATGATGGTTTTTTCTTAATTATTAATTTTTTGAAGCGAGTAATCTAAAAATATTAAATTTTATTATCGAGTTAAACAATTTTTTTTATGTATGTTATATTATAAGACTTAATTTTGAATTTGACAATCAAGTTTCCCAAACGAAATGTAATAATTGTTGTACATATAATATAATAATTTTTTAAAAAAATTTTCATTACTTGGTTTTCATTTTATATTATCTTCTACAGCATTATGCCTTTATTCAACATCATATGGGCAATAATTTCATTTAAGGTGAAACAGTTTTTCATATTTATCATGTTCAATTTTCTTACATAAAACTTTTTGTTCGAAAGATATAACCCTTTTTATGCACGTCACTCACCTAAAACCAGCCTTACTTTAATTTATTCTCAATGGATATAATCATCGCCTTTTCTAAATAACGAAAAAGCAAAAGTTATCTTCTCAGATAACTTAAAATATCAAATACAGATAAGATATCTGTGGATTTATCAATCTTGAATCTGACCAGCTCAATGCAATAATTATTGTACATTATTCATCTTCTTTTTTTATTTATTTTATGTATCTACGATTTTAATGATAGTTACAAAATTAATCTCCCGATAATCTCTCGATAATCTACAACTATACATTTAAAAAATAAAAGCTGCAACTGTGACAGCTCATTTCTTGATTGTAATCCAAGTCTAACACGTGTCCCCCGTATTTAAAGACCATAAAATCCACTACTAATCGAGATCCTGAAATTTAATCCTAATGACATCAAAGGCAAACAGGGCCATGTGTACAAGTAGGCTCCAACTCTGAATCCGGAAAAAGAGTCCGTGGGACAAACACCACTGCTGCGTTTTATAAAATGGATAACACGTGTCAGGATATAAACCGTCGGATGAGACCACCCTACACGGATATACATCGAATCTGGACACGTAGGATGTAGACAACACCGCTGGCCATGTTCAGACAAGATGACGCTTGACGTAAATGGTGGATAATGACAATTATAGCAAGTTTCTCGAATAGCCATATTTGTCACCATAAATTGCAGATATTTAGTCCCTTTCGGTTGGACTCTATAAAAGAGCTTCTTTCCTCATAAAGTTGGTCTTTCAAGAAAAGAAGGAAGAGATAAAAAGGAAGAGTTTTAAGACAGAGAGAAGATGGCTGGGAACGGGACAGGGTGTTGCAAGACAGGACCAGGATATGCTACTCCACTGGAAGCCATGTCTGGTCCTACAGAAGCCCTTATTTATGTCACCTGTGTTTATACCGGTACTTTCCTTTCTTTTACTTCAATGATTCTCCCTCTTTTATTTGAATTATTTGCAAGAATTGGGTTATCTGGGAAAGTTGAAGCATTGTTTGGATTGATCCTTGTATGTCTAGAATTATGGATTGCTATGTATGGAAAAGTTAATTGGGTGTTTTTTTAAAAAATAAAAAATTGCCATTCCTCTCATTTTTTTCATAACTTTTCTGAGTGAATTCAAGAAAACATATGACCCCCTTGTATCTACTTTGCTATCTCTTAAGCTAAGCAAACATAGTTGAGAGAATCTATCTGCTTTCTATAAAGTAATTGGTGGAAAATAATTACAGTGTGAAATAAAAAGTTTTATGTGGTTGATGGGATGTAAAGTGTTTTAATAATAAGAAAAGCAGTATCAGTTTTAAATGAAAATGAAATATAGAAATTTTTGGTGCAAGTCATTATAAGTTCCCCCTTCTTATTTTCTTTTAAGTATTTTAACCATAAATTTATTGTCTATGGCCTCACTTCCCTTCAAATTAATTTTCTCTTACTTCACAATCTGGTTCTAATTCAATGGAGTGGATCTTTCTTACATATACGTTATACCTCTACCCACCTTGCATGTTTTGTAAGATTTTGGACACTCAATTTGAAGCGTTATTATGCTTTTTACTTTATCTAGCCATGATTATCAAGCGTGTGCAAAATCTTATTACTATCCAAGTTTCTACCGGAATATGAATCCTGATGCTACCTGATATTGAAATGACTTAATTACAACATAATTTCTATCATGTTAGTAGGCTTTTACTTGTGTTTTTTCTTCTCCACTTAGAACTGGTTAATTTTTACCTCTAAGTATAGTATTGAATCACTGTGCTTTGTTTTGGTATACTTCTAAAACAAAGGTTGCATATGATCCTTTTCTTGAAAGGTCTTTATTTTCTTGTTTTAGGTAGTACTTATTCCATCCATCTGGTTATTCTGGCCAAGTTTTCTTAGTTTTGAAGTTGTAAAATGAGTTTTCAATGCTTCTATATCAATGCAGGAACTGGAAGGGAGAAGCCAGATTTCTTGGCTACAGTTGATGTAGATCCAAACTCACCTACTTATTCTAAAGTTATACACCGGCTACCTGTGCCATATGTAGGTGATGAACTACATCACTCAGGCTGGAACTCATGCAGCTCTTGCCATGGAGATCCTTCAGCAGATCGACGTTTTCTGATCCTGCCTTCATTGGTGTAAGAAACTATATGTTTTGCTGGATTTTCATTTCCCTTTTGGCTGTAATAGATATTATTATCTGGGTGAACTAAAACAAGTAGAATGGAGGTAACAAATGAACCTAGATAATTGAGAACAGCTACTGTAATTGAAAAAAACTACCATTTTTTAGGCTTCCAATGATGTTTATCAGGATGATAGTGCTCAAATTAATCAGTTGGAGTCTGGCCTAATACATGCTGCTGAGAAATCACAGTCCACTCAGATATCTCTACTACTTTGGGATATTTGAATGTTTGACCCATCATTTTCCTTCAAGCTTTCTGCTTGGTTGCATATCTTTGCATCTAAGCATGTCTTTGACAATTCATGTATTCTGTAATCTATAATTATTCTCATTTTTGCTTAGATTTTACATTTTCTAAGGATGCTTAATTTTAATTTAACTAGCTCTGTCACTGTCTTACAGAGATGAACTTTGCATATATGAAGTCTTAAAATGATCAAAGCTGTTTCAATAGGTTAATTTCGTGAAAATGTGGATCTTATCTGGGAACAACTTATTTAAGCTTACAAAATAGGAGTTTGAATGTCTCACCTTAGAGACGCCTGTTTCTAATTGAACAAACTGTCTTTTCATGTAAATGAATTATGACGTCCATTTGTTACATCATCTCTAGTGTATAACAAGAAACAATGTGGTTTTGGTACTATACAATCAGTTATGGTGATTGTTACACTTTTTATTACTAGATCCTTTCAAGGAGAGACACATATGCCTTTAAATGCTACAGATATTATTTAATGGTTCCACTTCCACTCATACGTCTTGTTAAGGTATATAAATTTCATTACATGTTAGTTTTATTCTTTCAGATCTGGCCGTATCTACGTGATTGACACACAGACAAATCCAAAGGCTCCCTCATTGCATAAAGTTGTTGATCCTGAGGATATTGTTCAGAAGACAGGCCTAGCATATCCACACACATCCCACTGCCTTGCCTCTGGTGATATAATGGTTTCATGTCTTGGAGACAAAGATGGAAATGCCAAGGGAAATGGATTTCTTCTCCTTGATTCAGAATTCAATGTGAAAGGGAGGTAAAGCAAAAGACCAAAACAAGAAAAAGATTTTGAAAAATGGAAATAATTGCTATTGTGCTTTATGGTGCATGATATTGGGAACAACTATCACTTGTGATTGAACTCTAAAACAATCAGATTGAAACTCTTAACTCCTGTTGCCTTCTTCAGGTGGGAGAGGCCAGGGCATAGTCCTCTGTTTGGCTATGATTTCTGGTACCAACCTCGACATAAAACAATGATCAGCTCATCTTGGGGAGCTCCTGCAGCTTTCACAAAAGGTTTCAACCTTCAGCATGTTGCAGATGGTCTATATGGAAGGCATCTGTATGTGTACAGCTGGCCTGATGGTGAATTGAAACAAACATTGGATCTTGGTGACACTGGACTCATACCCTTGGAGGTGATTGCATGTTAATGTTGTGAACATGTTACAACTTTGTTTCTATGACTAGATTTTTCTCGTTAATTATTATGTGGTTTGTTATTGTTGTTATGATATGGGGGAGACTTGGGATTTACATATATCCTTTGTCATTTTTTTTTATGCAGATAAGGTTCCTGCATGATCCTTCTAAAGATACAGGTTTTGTTGGGTGTGCCTTGGCAAGTAACATGGTGCGGTTCTTCAAAACCAAAGATGGATCATGGAACCATGAGGTGTGCACACAAAATAGCTCTACTTTTGTGCTTGAGTGTGTCATTGTGTAGCTTTACAGATTGTTGTGCGAATTTTGCAATTGTTGTTGTACTTAGTCTTCAAGCTCCACAAGCATAGTATATAATCTCCTTATCAATTGCTGCAGGTGGCAATCTCCGTGAAACCACTGAAGGTGCAAAACTGGATTCTTCCTGAAATGCCTGGGCTTATAACCGATTTTCTAATCTCTCTTGATGATCGTTTTCTCTATTTTGTCAACTGGCTTCACGGAGATGTTCGACAATATAATATTGAGGACCCTAAAAATCCAGTCTTGGCAGGGCAAGTATGGGTTGGAGGACTGATCCAAAATGGAAGCCCCGTAGTGGCTGTAACAGAAGATGGTAAAACGTGGCAATCAAATGTTCCTGAGATCCAGGTCTGTTGTGCCTTTTATCCATATAAAACTTGTAGGTTGATTAGTGGTTAGAGAAAATGGCAGTGTAACATCAGCACCACACAATCATAGTTTTGATGTAACTTTCCTTGACACTGTGTTAGAAGTTAGAAAATAAGATTGTCTATTCCATCTCTGAAAAACAAAACAAGGCATAGACCCGGAGATGCATGATGGGGGTTATTGGTTTCTGGCCTGATTACTGTAACTGGCAGATTTATCATTTGACCAGCATGATGCCTGCAGAAAGAGCTGTAAACGCATCCTTGAGTACTCTAATTTATTATGACCTGATTTGTCATTAGCAAGCAAACACTTGGTAATGATGTCTTAGGAAATGGCATCACATAGACAATAAACCATGTCCAGTACATCTTTCACAGATAACCATGTTTTTTTATGGAACTAAAGCATTCATTGAAGGATAGTCAGGTAGTGAGGATTGATAGACTTATGTTCTTTACAGGGACATCGTCTGAGAGGGGGACCCCAGATGATACAGTTGAGCTTAGATGGGAAGCGGCTATATGTCACCAACTCGCTATTCAGCACATGGGATCGCCAATTCTATCCTGAGCTTGTTGAGAAGGGTTCCCACATGCTACAGATTGATGTTGACACTGAGAAAGGAGGTCTCAAAGTAAACCCATACTTTTTTGTTGACTTTGGAGCTGAGCCTGATGGCCCCTCCCTGGCCCACGAGATGAGATATCCAGGTGGTGACTGCACCTCAGATATTTGGATTTAGGCATCCTGAACCAATCTAGCTTTGAAGAATCACCCTTTAACAAAGAAGGAAAAAATAATAATAATAATCAATGCAATCTGTAGATTCCTGTGACAACATGTTGGGATCATCGGAATTAGATAATGCATGTAATTATAAACTCTACATCAGCTCATCAATGTGGAATAATATACAGCTCAAATTAGTCAATAAAGAGTTTGAATTGTATAAATTGCTTCATGGCGGTGGCACTTTAATGGAATTTGATTTCTGAAAATGGTTCTTTTATTGCTCTTAGAGTGCATAGTTGCTTGGTTATCCAGTTATATATCCGGAAATGCTCATGTTCATGTAGCTTTAGATAGCAAGTTTATTGGACATCAACCGTAAATTCCATTCACGAGTTTGATGTTTATTCTATTTTTAGATTATGTCATGTTATTTGCAAATTTGTTGGGGAAAAGGTTCTCTTAAACCTTAATGAGGTGGCATACTTCTTTGTTTAGGTGCTATGAACTTGATTTCAACACTACTGTTATACTAAATGGTTGCTGTATCAAAGAAGAGAAACATGCTGAAGGATGGATTTTTTTTTTTGGCAGAGTATGCTGCTAAAAAACTTCTTGAAATTAGAGTTACAAAAAGTACTAGTAATTTTTATTTCTCTTGACTTGTGATTTTTGGTGTCAAATTATGGGAAAAAAAGAGTTGGTTTTATGCATTTAATTTTTTACTTGTATAAATTTATTCTTCACTTGTTTTGACAATCTTTAAAAGCAAAATCTTCAACAATATTAATATGTGGTACAAGTTAATTTGCCAGTACAAACCCCTTTTTGGATAATACTTCAATCCCATGAAAAGAACTTGCAGAGATCATCTAGTGGTAACTGGTAAGAACTTGCACATGATACGTTTCATGAGAACCAAATTAAACTATTCCAATTTAAAACTTTTTTCTTCACATGGCTTTAATTTCCTCTCCCTGGAGTCTTTTAACAGTCCCATCAAACAAAAGCATGATTTGTCACAAACTTTTTATTACACAGAAGCAAAGGGTCAACAGAACATCGATCAATTATAGCAAACGGAAGGCAATCAATCAGCAAAGTGTATATCCTGAATGAACCAAAAGTACATATCAGAATCTGTTAATGACAAAAGGCCCGTGTTAAGGGATAAAAGTTTCTAATTTTAGAGTTCCATTTAAATGGTGTAAGATAAGTGGGAACAGTGACACCCGTGCGGTTCCAGTTTATGACTGTTCGGTCTTGTTCTAGTTTTCTCTGGAGCTGTTAAGCCTTGTGTCTCTGCATTTTGATGCCACCCAAGCTTGTTGGTCAGCCTGGTAGGAAGGTGGGTTTGGATAGAAATTTTAAAGCATAGCACTTTCTTCTTAAATAAGGATAAGGAGAACATATTCTTCTTCTTTTATGACAAGGAGAAATCCTTCATTGTTCAATGACAGTTAAGAATTGTTGCTCAGATCATTTGATGGTAAGTTCAGGAAAAAACAAAATGGATATGGCGTTGTTATCTTGTTTTTTTTGTTTTCTTCTGAAAGGTAGAAAAAGATTTATTAATACAATTCAATTACAGAATTCCCTATATAACCAGATAGGTAATCATTTGAGATCCATCACATGACAACCCATGCTTTATACAAAGGAACAGCTATACAATCCCAAAACTGAAAGAACCAACCAGTAGAACATATATGAAAGGATTTGAATCTTAAAAATAAACATATATCACAGGATTTTAAACGATCATACCTAAAAAGCTCATACCTTTGACCATTTAAGGCTTGAACTTATCTCTTCTCCCACTAGAACTAAAGTAAAGAAATTAAAATGAGGTGACCTTTCCAGCCTATATCCACAGTATTGTGTAATGTAATTCTCTTTTCAGGCTTTTGGGTATTGGAAGAGTTTTTAAACAGAATAAGTCTGTTGAAATCTGATATTATATATTAAGTCTGCTGAAAGCAAAGTGATATAAATTCTATAGGTAGACTCTGAAAGAAAAGGGTACCTGTTCCCAGAATCTTGATTGACAGAATTGTCAGACTCTAGAAGATGCTGATTACGGCTCCTTGATTTGCCTGAAGGAAACAGATAATAGCAGAAGAAGACCACCCCAACTGAAAACATAACACCTGCCCCCCCTGCCAACCATTGAAAGCTTTCTCTAGGAATGTACCATCTTCCCATCATAGCAGCACCGTTGCCCAAGAAGGAAAATGAGATCTCTATCAGAAGAGGAACAACACTCTCTTCTGATGAATCACTTCTTTTCTGATCTCGCACTTTCTTCATATTAACCCAGTTTCGATACCAAATGTACATGGTGTAAAGGGAAAGAAACAAGACCCCCTAGAGAAATATTAAGTAGCCTCTTGCAAAGTCCTGGTTGTTGCTCTCGCAAAGATAAGTAAGATGAACTGCCAGGAACAAGAAATGGTGCCAATAGAGGCTGCCAAATGACTTTTCCATTTCCAGGCAAATACAGATGATAAAGAAGCAGCAAGGTACTGATACAAAGGCTACTAGCATTGTTATATGGCATGAGCGGAAAGGATGACAGATGAGAACCGCTGAGTTCACATAGCAAACCATGGCTAAAAGCAACTGTTGAATGGAGAGTTGGCCATGGTTTTGTCATCTTTGGCATGGAAAACGAACAATTAATCTGGTGGAAGGAACTAAGAAAATGAAGATCAGGACTTTTTTGGTGCTTCAAATTGAGATAAGTAGCATGTCTCGTATGACTTCATTTGCCAAAACATTTTCAGTCAACGGTAGGAACAAGCTGGATAAAGATTAAGACCAGTTGACATGTGACAGCTGCCATGGCAATAGAGGGGGATTTTCTTTTTATTGTATATTTACTTCTTATATAAACAAGAAATGCTTTGTTAAAAGATTAATGCCTTCATTGTTGTCGTAAAAGTTAAACTTCTTACTGTAATTTTATAGTCTCTAGTACACTAGTGAATCAAATCCTATACTTGAACTAAACTTAAAAAGCATTCAAATACTTTAATTTAAGCCTTACGGCAACATGAAATGATAATTTTTTCGTAGGATTTGATTTTTAGGGTGAGATAAGAAATGCTTTACCGTATTGAGAAATTTTTTTGTAATCGGGTCCTCTTGAAGGATTGTGTAGAAGATAGGATTTGGAGAAATATTTGGAAGAACCTAGTGCCTCACCGTATTAAGATTTTCTGTTGGCAGGTGCTGCATGAGAGGGTGGCCGTCGAGCAAGAGCTAGCGAAAAGGAACTTAATCGACCAAGAGGAAGCTGCGTGTGTCCTCTGCAAGAGTGAACCTGAGAGGTAAGACAGTTCCTCCATTGTCCTGAGGTCTGGCAAGTGTGGATGAGATGTAGAGAATGAAGGTATTGGGTTGTCCCAAGGATTTAATTAACTCGTTTAACCTTGGAATGTTGCTTGCGGAAAGGGAGATTAAAATTTGGTGCATGGCCTTTAAGCTATTTTGTGGTCGTGTGGTTGTATAGAAATGATACGGTCTTAGAGGAGTACCTGGTGCTGACAGGTTTTTGAATTAGTTTAACTCAGAGTTGCCACTGGGTCAAGCTAAGTGGCCTCTGAGTATGGCGCGGTTTAGACACTTTAGATTCCAGTGAGGGCGCAAGGTTAAGAAAAGGAAGAAAACCAGAATTGTGGAGGAGTGGAGCAAACCCACGAAGGGGAGATGAAATATAATGTGGATGGGGCAGCCAGTGCTGCCCTGGGGCGCGGGATGGGGCATATGAGAGATGAAGGAAACATCAAAATTGTCTTTTCAAAAGCTATTGGAGTGGAAGATGCTAGTGGCAGAAGTCAGGCAATTAGGGAGGCTTTTTTACCTTTGCGTCAAATGGGCCACACATTCGTTGTTATTGAAAGTGACTCAAAAAATGCGTCAAATGGACTAACAACCCATCGACGCCTGGAGGCTTAGGAAGTGGATTCTGCAATTGAAAGGTTAAGAAGGAGGTGAAGAAATGGACATAAACACATCTACAGGAAACTAATCACTTGCTGATTGCCAAGCGGCAAGTCGACTTGTTGAATGTCTATGATTAATTCCTTAGTGCTTGGGTTCTTTAATGTTCTGCTTCTTGTTTGTGTCCTTGTGCATCTGTGATACTGTTGTGTCGATTAAAATGTTATCTCTGACTGTGTTTTGGATGCTGTTGGGAAGGTCTATGTCTATTTCTTGCGTTCTCCTAAGGGGGCCCTTGGATGATGTTCTCTGCTTTTGGCCATGATGAGGTTCTGGTGACATTGACTACTACTGTTTTTGTGATTCGTGTGTGAGTGGTGGACTCTGGTCTTTGAGATGTGCAGGAGATGCTGATGGGTTTTCTTTTGAAGAGCACCTATAGATTTGTGGATATTTATGGCTCAGGGGCTCTTTTTGATGCAGCCACCTGAGGAATATGAGAGTTATGGGGTAGGCTTGTTCTATGTGGCTACTCTATAGTTCTGTTAGGTTGCTTGGGTAGTGTAGAGTTGGAATGTTGTGTACAGTTTTACGACCCTCTCACCTGATATTTATGATGGTGGCGATATGCTTTGTTTTTGCTTTCTGAAAAGGTATGGGTGGGCTTTGTTGTTTTTTCTGAGGAGAGTTACTTCAGGCGTGTGTGTGATCAGTGATCGCTTTGGTTTATAAGACCTGTGGCTGTGGCGTGCTGTGATGATTGAAGACTGTTAACCCCAAATAGGTGAGTAACAGACTTTAATCAAGTTTGTACTTCTCCCAAAGGTGAACCTTCGGTATCCTCTGCTCTGAAATAAACAACAAATTTCAAAAAAAAAAAAGAAGAAATGCCTTTGCTCTTGATCATAGAAAGTAGTCTTAGATTACTTGTTCTCTTCCACCTACATTTTGTTTGAAAAAAGTCATTTGGAGGTTACTGATTTTGCTACAGTTCACGAGTTCATTTCTCCCTTCATATTTCAACACAGAATAGTGTTTTAAGTTGAATCCAAACAAAGAGAAAATGACATCTCTATCGACTAACATTGAGACTCTCCTGTTATAACAGGTTGTGAGAGAGAATTATGTTTTCTGAGTACTCACGTGAATGAAAGAGTGAAGAACCTCAATTATAAGCCTCGCCATTAATTTCCACGAAAACCTGTCCGCTTGTGAATGCCTACTTGCTCTGGAAGGAAAACCTCTAAACTCAAAAGCAGAGGCAAAGCTCCGAACCCAAATTGATTATAGGGATTATATGTTAAAAGTCCTTGTCAGATATGGCAACTTGAACGCAACCCCACAGCAATTCCATAACCCCATTGGTTACCATACATTAGAAAAAAGAAAGATATGTTCACAACACGGTAGCTACAGGGGAACTAAGACCTGACCCTACAGTGCATTGATGGAGAATCACTCCAATAATGATTAAAGTCATTCGACATAACATTGGAATTGTCTACAAAAGCTGAAAACCAAGCTGAAGAGAACTTGTTCTCACTCCACCCCCCCACCTCCCAAAAAAAAAATGAAAACAAAATGGAAGGAGATTTATGCCATGTCTCTTTTACTTGCACCACTACTAATCATGCTGCTGTTTCAAGAGCTTAGCCCCCATTATAGAGTTGCTGCTGCTGCTGCAGATAACAGCTATCATGAGAAAAAAAAATGTGATGGTTCAATGGCAGAATGTGGTGACATTGATGAAGAACTTCTTATGGAATCTGAGTCAAGTCGAAGAATTCTGCAGGCAAATAGAATTAGTTATGGGGCTATCAGGCGTGATTTACCAGCATGCGGTGGTTCTGGAGGTCAGCCTTACAGCACGAGCTGTCTACCTCCTTCGTCGAATCGATATACCAGAGGTTGCTCCAAGATTTACAGATGCAGGCATTGACCCTTCAGTTAATCCAAATGTGAGCATGAGGAATAAAACATGTAATTTTGGTTTGTGGTTTTTTTACTTCCAATATAATTTTGCTCTCCGTTGCTTACAGAGATTATTATCATTGTTATTTTCTTAAGTTCCTTACATTCAGCATTAATCAAATGTAAAATGTTGGATAAGGGAGTGATTAAGTAAATTAAACTAATTGGCTTGGTTTTTTTTTTTTTTCCGTTTTCCACCGACATTTTCACAGTAGAGCTCCATGCTGAATTAATTTAAGAAATAGGTAGATCAGCAATGCAATGCTGGTAGTCAAATGAGGGGTAGGATAGGCATAGTTGTTTTCCATAAACTACAAATCACAAACATTGAAGCCAATTTAATCCAAGTTCTACTATCTAATTTTCTCTTTATTTTTTCCTACTTCTGGTATTGGCACTTTTCCATCATTTAAAAGACAATGGATATTTGATTTAGTATTTTTTTTTAATAATTTAACCTCATTTTTTTCCTTTTTTTTTTTTTGAAAAAGACTACTGTCTGACACTTTGTCCTTATCTTGTATTGTTTTCCCAACAGCAAAGTTTGTTTGAAAAGGACAGAGAATGGGTACATGCCCATTTTCATCAATGTCTATAACAATAACAAGCCCAAAATCATGAATCTGCTGCCAGTATGCTTCATCATGACTTTGGTCGCATACATTATGTACCATTGGCTTACCATAATCAACCACAATTACTTCTGGTACCAATTTCACAGTACTTCACATCTTTCTTTGACTACACAAACAATTTTCTCTTCTGCTCTTGGAAACTCGAATAATCTATTATGGCAGTGGTAGTCTTAACCTCAAGTCTAATCTAGTCCCAACCCTCTTCTTTTTCTTTCTTTCGCAAAGATAAAAGGAGTGCCTATCACTTGATTTCCATTTCGAAGAAATGAGTGAGATCACTATTGTTGTCCCATCTGAATATGAAAAATACATCACAAATATATACTTTTGAAGCAAGAAACAGCAAATGAGGAATAAAAGAAATTCAGTGCCATCATATAGGTTAGGTGAAAGTGCGGTCCCTCAGCTTCTCCCTAATGGGGCTTCCACTACCGCCTTTACAGAAAAGAAAATGCTGCTGATACCCCATAAAGTGCTCACGTAGTTAAATCCAATGGCACCCCAAGGCCAGAATGAACATCACCATGAAGTCTCTTCATTTCTTCTTCCTTGTGCTCGTTAGCTTACTTTACCTCACTAACAGTGCTATGTCGCTGGTGAGCGATGCATACATGCCATGCAATGGATCAATAGGAGAGTGCAATGAAGCGAATGAGATGCTAATGGAATCAGAAATAAGCCGAAGGTTTCTTGAACAGAAGAAATACATATCACCTGGGGCACTGAAAAGAGACCAACCGGTTTGCAGTGGAGGCTCTAGCGGTGAAGCTTATAGTAAGACTGAAGGCTGTCTACCCCAACCATCCAATCCTTACAATCGAGGGTGCTCCAAATACTATCGTTGCAGGTCTGATTCCTGATTCACGCTGTATTTTCTCTTTCAGTTTTGTGAAATATATTCCAAAAGTCCATAAGACTCAATGTTCTAAAACTTCATATTTGTTCTCTGCCTGGGTGCTGTCATTGCTCATGATTCTTACAATCCAGATGATAAACAAGGAAAGAAAGTAAAAAGCTGATACCGGGAATTCTCCTGTGCAAGTTATAAGCCCCAGGAATTTCTACAGAATTAACATTTACAAGTATTACTTGAGAGTCCACAAAATTCTCGTATCATTACAATTAACTCAAGAATTTTTACATATTCTTTCAACATGAAGAGTGTACGTATCATTCTTAAACTATTCAGTTGCATCTTACTTTTTTCTGTTTCTATATATTATACCGCTCAACAATTTTTGATGTTGCAATTTAGTTGTTAATGGTAGCATAGCCACCCGAAACTACACATTGCTAATCAAACTATATGAATCACAAAGCAAAAAAGTTTCAGATACTGGAGGAACCTAAAGTTTGATAATATCAAAGTTAACATTTCTGACCATAAAAACTGAAAAAGGAAGAAACTATAGTTATCAGCTGGCCTACATGTTGAGTTTCCTCTTCAATTGTATGGAACTTGCTATATTCTCAAATGTCAGATTTACAGTGTCAAGGAACGAGCTTTGTTTTGCTGGGGGAAAAAAAGTCAAAAACCTTATCCAAATTCAATCAAGTACATAAACTATTAATGCAATAAAAAAGTAAAGTTGGCACACATGCAAGGCTCATTGGGTGAAGAATCTAATGTATTGGCATCAAACCCCAACAATATTTTTATGGTTGAAAATACAAAAAGCATATAGAGAGTGAGGGTGAGACCAGTCACTGGAGAGCAAAATCAAACTTCATTTATAATTGAATCAGGGGCTTAGAATCAGAAAAGATTGCGCCTAGGAAAACAAAAAGTTGCAGTTGGCAGAAAATGAAATGAAAGAAGCCAAAAACAGATACTGGGTATGGACAAAACATAATTAACTTGTTAATGATTATTTGAGCTAGTAGATCAAGTGAAAGCCAGCTAGCACGCATGTAAACTTTGACGATATGCAGAGTTAAAAGTAACTGTTTTAATTTTCTCAATCTTTCAAAACTGGCTTGTCACCATTAGAACTTTTTAAATAGACCTTGTCCCACGGGTACCATACTGCTGTCTCAAAGCAATTTTAAGGTCAATATCAATTTATTCCACAAGGTGTATCGGCCAGAAACATATGCTAAAGCAGACAATCTTTTCTTCGCATGTCTCCATCCAAAATTTTGACCCGTCTCCTAAGCCTATTGGCTCAAGAAGCCACGATTCTTCAATGAAACCGGACCACACCAAAGACTCCACAATTGTAGTGTTGGATGATTTTTTAAATTTCCTGGCAGGTAGAATCTATAGCATACCCTGATTAAAAAGGTCTAAACTACTAGCTTCCAAGTACTCCCCTTCTATTACCGTTTTTAGCTAGCAGCTGATCAAGTTATTGCATACAAACCGCAAGAAGTTCAGTTCAATTATTTGATTGGCTCAGTAGATTGATATGATAACCTTCCACTTCATGATTTAAACCTAGATTTGTTAACTAAACCATCAAATGCAGCTTTCTATATGAATCCATTTTATATGAATTAAAGACGAATACCTGGGTTCCTTTATGCTAACATTAATTGTTGGTTAAATGTTTATAAAAATAATGCCAAGTGCAAGGCCAACCCCGATTTAAACAGCAGAATCCTCCTGGCTATAAGCTGAATGGTACCAAAATCCAAGTCTGAGTTCAAGAACTTGTGACTTCAAAATTGGCAAGCCAAGAGGGAAAGAAAAGAAAGAGCCTCCTTTACCCCTAAAAGAGAAGGTCCCCATTCACAGTCCACTTCTTACCAGCTTCTCAGAAGTTTTTCTTGTTTCCTTTTTTATACTAGCCAACTAATTTTCAATCATAGAGGGAAGTTATTAACTTAATCACGAATATGATAGTCAATGAGGAGTAACTTGAAGTAAATCATGCAACTGTCTCTTCCAGCCCTCTGTACAGTTTTGAATGCATACATAGAGTAATAGCAGCACAATCAGAAAACAGGACCTATTGCGCAGATCAGATCCACATTAGATGGGTCAATAATGTTACAGCTAGTTCACTAATGCTTGCGATGGATGTCTCTGCCTTGAGTATATTGTAAGTTCTACAAAATCAGATCACATTCCCAGTGCTAAATCATAAAGACCAAAAAATTTGTGACATTTCAATTTTAAGAAAATGTACACATAATCCAGGCATCCCGCCAAACTCTTTGCTAACCCAATGCAGAGGAGTTTAAACTATAATGTTTTATAGAGTGTGTTGTTATTCTTAATGCCAGTTAAAAATTTCTGGGGTATGATACAGAGTAAACAAAGGTTTATGGAAAATAAAGACTAGATTAAAAGTAACAAAAGGAAAGCGTTCATGGAATATAATCATCCTGTGCACATATAGAGTAACAGTTCTTGCGTTTGATCAAGCTATCACCCACGTATCCGCATTTAGAGTAGCATCTAGCATAGTCAACATCCCAATAAACCAAATAGTGGACCTACTTATATGAAAGCTTCCATACCTCCCGTACATTAGACGAACCATCAGCAACTTCAGTAATAAGACTTGCAGCCATAACACCTGTGGGGCCAAAAAGAGACTTAATAAGCATCTGGCACCCTGTATCTCATACATGAACAACTTCAGGAAACAAATGAAATGCAGGATGCTTGATATGTAGCCTCCATGAAAGTATCCTACTCACAAACTAAACATACGTGTAAACAGACATGCAAACAGATTAGAGGTAGAGCAGATTTCCAGAAACCTGTCTACAGAGGAGAAATATTGGGGATTTATGGTCTAAGGCTGTGGAAAATGGTATTTCAGGATTAGAAGGACTAGAACTTGAAACCAATTGAGTTTTAATTGTGAAAAGTTTATAAAAGTTGAATAATTAGCTAGCTTGCATTTTCTGCCAACACCAATAGTAAGGTTTTCATGATTGTTTGAGAACTTAGCCAGACAGAACATGTCTCCTACATTTACAGAGAATTTAGAATTTCTCCATAGAGTACATGAAGAGCTAGAAAGGATATAATAGGATTAAGTTTTAAGGCTACAAAATGATAAAAAAAATCAATTTTGCTTGGAGCTGTTCCTTCACTGCAAAGGGTAACTTCAGATGCTCCAACAATGGAATATTAAAGAACAAAAAAGGAGGAGAAACAAATGAATCACTCAACCATTCTTGAAGAACTCATGAATATTGCAAATTTCAAAAGACACCGATTCCAGTAAGTCTAAAAGTTGTGCAGAGATATAATCAGTACACATGTTAGCATGGGGCAGTGGTCACTTTTGTTTCTTCAGTTTTCATACTGCCTTTGGTTTGCTTTAATTTCGATTTTGAATTGAAAAATTGACAAAAACAAACAAAAGTGAAGTTGACTTATGATAAATCATAAAAATTAAATACTATTACAATGAGCGTTATTGGTTGATTCACATGACTTGAGAAACCGCACAAAATCAATTAACTTCATCTTGGTTCTTTTTTTTTTTTTTTTAACAATTCTCAATCAGCTTTGACTCTAAACTTATTCTAAAATTGAATCCAGTTGAACTATTACCACTCGTTAACTGAATAACAAAAAACAAGACCAAAGACCATATAAAAAATTTAAAATAATTAAGAAGTTAATTAGACCTAAAACAAGACAAAAAGACCAGAACATAGGTCTATCCCAATCAAATACAAAATTATTAAACTATCTGTGGAAATTATAACCCCAAAAAAGTTGTAGTTGTTTGACCAATGACTCAATAACAATAGAGACTTGAGAACAAGATCCCTTAAGCCAAAATTGGCTTTTCTGATGTCTTAGAATCTATCACTTTAATCATAAATTTCCTACGAGGAAAGTTCTTCGCAAACACTCTAACCATGCCCACTACCTTATAAAGTGCATGAGAAAATAAGTAAAACCCCTCCCTCCTCCCCAAAAAACAGAGAGAAGGAAAACCTCATGAAACTCAATGCTCCCAACTTACCTATACATTTTTTTAAATGTAATTATATCCTAAAAGAATATGTTCCACTTCCACTGACATAACCACAGCTATAAATGATCAGCTTACCATCTTTCTCAAGCATAGAAAGAAATTGCCGTGTTCCCCCGCCTACACCAAAATAATGCTTCTTTCCAGCCATGTAAACAACTCCATGTGGGTGGCTCATGCACTGTAAATTGAGAATGCTTAGAGCTCAGGAATCCACGAATTTGTGATTTACAGAAGAATCAGGAATAACTCAAAATAAGAAAGACCTTCTTTATAAGTCTATAGAGATTCCTTTGAGCAGAGATTGAGTAAATTGTCTCAGCCATTAGAATAACATCATAACCAGTAGCTTGGCCATGTTCTAAGCTGGAATTCAGGTTCATTTCACTTCCATGTGCATGAGGAAGTAGTTGATGAATCTCACCCCAGTCACCAGCAAAAAAGCGTACTTCTCCAGAAGAGTCAGGCTGTGACTTCTCTGAAAGATTTGCATTTACATTTGGAATGGTGAGACACCGCAGAACCTCCGCATTAAAGTCCTGGAAATGCACAACAGCTGCACCCTGAAGACAAATAAATAAATAAAAAACAATGACATTTTACCATATACTCCCAGTCACTACACAGAGCAGTCAAACATGCATGAATTTACCTCAAGACATGCAAATATCCCAGGAAGTCCGTGACCACATCCAAGCTGAAAACAATTAGAGGAAAGTCAGCAAGTAGTGGCAAGAAAAGACAAGCCAAGAAATTATTGGCATCTGTCTAAATATATATTCACTATTTTAAGCCATTCTCCATTGAAGTTAAATCAATCAGAGAGACTAGCAATTTCTTCACCAGTCAAAGCTCACTGGTTGACAAGAGCCTAACCAGTGATCGAAGCTGAATATTGCGTATGCTATAAATCATATTCTGTAAATAATGCAACGCAAAATTCATATACCACTCTGGTATTACATAAGTCTACTTGCCACAGTCAAACAACTAAGAGACTTGAATGACAACAGTTCTAAAGCAGATCCTATAATTGATTTATGCTGAAAGGTAACAATGCAATAAAACAGTACAAAGAAAAACATCCCTGAACATCATTGTGCATATCACTAGTAACCTTAGTAACACATAAGTAAAGTAATCAAGTAAGTTTCCGTGTCAACAACGAGTTTGATAGTAAAAACCTATGAAATTGTGCAGGCTTGCAATTATTGTGCCTTTTTTGAAAATATTCAGTTCCCACATGGAAACAAGGCTTTTCACTAGGAACCCTAATAATAACACAACCAATCTACCAAGTCATTTTGACAAACAGGATTTCAAAATTGAAGCCAATATCTGGCTATGCACCTGATATAATAGTTTTGTTGAATGGTTAAGCCCTATACAATCACCTGAAAATTAGGACCCCACCTCTAACACTCGCTTTCCCTCAAATGATAGGTGCCCATTTCGAACCTCAGAGCGCAGAGCTTTAACAAGGTCTAATGAACCTTCCCACAGCTTAAGTCCCCCTACACTCCCAAAAATAAAAACACAAGAAAATGAAATCATTACCATGCTTTAAATCGGAAGCATCCTCATTATGCTTCCATCATGATCAGGAAATCCAATGTGAAGTTAAACATGAAGTCTAAAACAGAGTAAAAGAAGAAGATTGTTACACACCTTCATACTTTCCAGGGACTAAATCCGAATTAGGCAATCCGAAAACCTCTTTAGTACTCACCCGCCCCTAAAAGAACGGCAAAGTAGTTTTAGCGTTCAAGTACTCATCAATCTTACTAGAGCAGCCATTTAGTACCCTACCCCATCCCCACCCAAAAAAATTCTAAAACTAAAATTAAAACTTCCACATTTTTATTTGGTTTTATTCATTTCTAAACCAACCAAACACGTTCTTTTTTTCTCCAAAAAAAAAAAAAAGAAAATTCACCTTGAGTAAAGTAAAGCCATCCAAGTTGACAGGCTCGACAGTGCATCTCACATTAGAGGAAACCTGCCTCAAATTCAAAACCAACCAATCACAAAACGTTTACTCAAACATCAAAGACAAAAGCTTACAAATTGGTACCTCACAGGAGAGGACTTCGATGGAGGGAGGAGGAGGTGGCAGTGGCGGCTCTGACGAGTCCAAAAACCCTAAACTTAAATTGGGTTTATCACTAGATGACGAAAACAGTTGAAAGCTTGAGTTGGTTGCCATTTGCAATCTATCTGCTACTAGCTTCAAAGCAGCAGACCAGCACAGCAATAGGGAGGCGAAGATGAAAACCTTTTTTGCTCATTACCAGCTTTACAATTGTGGTGGGCCTGGCTGGCGGCCTACAGCCCATGAGATTAAGGCTTTTGTAATTATTTTTTTTAATTAATATGTTAAATTATAATCTATTAAGTTATATTCATTGAATGGTACCAAAGAGATCTCATCAAAGTTTCTTTTTTCTTTGCAGATTTGATATTTTGATTACCTTCATTGATGGATGAAGCAACTTATCCGCATTAACAATCAATGAAAGTTCCATTTTGATTGTTACAGGCCTTTGGCCTTGCATATATATATATATATATATACAAGGACTTTATTATCTTGTAGCAACCAATATAGGACGGCCCAATTGCTTCACCATATTAATACGTTTTATTTTTATTTTACTTTATAAAGTTATAATTATAAAAAAAGAAAGATTTAAATTCAACTCTTTTTCAATTAATGATACATGCATTTAGTTGTTAATATTAAGCTAAATGAGTCAAATATTGAAGTACTCTTCTTCAAATGATTTTTCAAGCAAAGCTAAGCTTAGTTGAGAAGGCAGTTAAAAGGACAAGTGAAATACTTTCAAGATATAAGGCGAAAGTCATCAAATTGCCTGATTTTGAATCTTAATCAGCTTCAGAATAACTTTGTAAGCCTCCCCTTTTTTCCTGCGTACATTTAACAGTTGCGTCTTCAAAGAAGCAATATCCTTCTTTGCAACATCTATTTCTTGCTTGAGCACCTGAATTGTCGCTCTCAGCTGCAAATGTTTCTTCCTGTCTTCATCGCATGAAGCCTTTTCCATACGCTGTAAAAAGATTGAAAGCATTGATTATTAGCAAGTTAATTTGTACAAGTATTTTTGAAAGACTTTTAATTTGTTACCTTTATTTGTTGTTTAATGACAGTTTTTGAAGCTAAAGAATTCCAAAGTCTTTCCCTCCACAGGAGCATTAGCAAAGGCTTTATCCCATGCCCATTTAAGCTCAGTAATCTCTTTGAGAGCTTGCTGTTCATCAACCCTGATGGCAGGTCTTGGGAAGAAATATTTCCTAATAATATCCCAGCGCAACCTGCGTATCTGTTTGCAGTGCTCAAGAAATGAAATCCAATAAATTAAAAGGAAGAAAAACCTTTAGGATATAATTCATGGAACTAATTTAGCAATTAATTTATTGTCTTACGCGATCGCTAATCTCTTGGACTGCAGATAGACCCGAAATCTTCGCAATGACCTCCTTTCTTCTGGCTGTCGTTGATCCCTTTCAAGAGCTTTTGGCCATGTTATTGGTTCCATTATGCATTACAAAATTTAAGTTCTGAATCATATTATAACAGTCCCATAAGGAGGGAAAAAGTAGCAGAAAGATGGATAGCAGAATCGATATATTAAGTATAGGTCTAGGATTTATGTCATCCTTGCATGGATATCAATCTTCCCTTCTGTCTCGACAGCTCTCTCCTTATATGCATTGTTTGCAAATGTCAGCTTCTCTAGGTCTCGTTTTAGAGAAGCGAGTTTCTTCCCGTCATCGGTCCACGTCCATCTGAAACGCTTGTCTCTATTTTCTAACCGGTCTAATCCGAAACAAGCCAGGATAGACTACATTTATATTAAGAACTGAATTCAATATATGAATATGTGGTAACAATATAGAGAGCTACATTTGTATTTAATTTTTTTGTTATAATGCAAGGAAATGCAGAATTGATATAATTAAGCTTATACCTGTCTCTCCTATAGTTTTTGAGTGATTCGAAATAGAACTTCGTTCATGGTTGCCAGCAGCTTTCATTCAAATTCATTTTATTTTATTTTATTTTTACTTTTTATTATTAAAAATCATAGAACATAAATTTTATTGATGGATCCATGAGCCCAAGTAAGAAAGTCCCCCTAATATCTCACCAAGATTTTTGGGGAACTTATAATCTACCATGTTATAATATTTGTAGGAAAAACAGATCTTGATAAACTGATATGACAGCTATTTGCTTTCTTAAACTGAGGTAATTTTAAACTTCTTTCTTGTTACAATAAAACTGTGAAAAAGTATCCCTTTTGTGAAACAATTAATGAAATAACATACTTCTTTCTTTCCAAATTAAATATCTACTTTATGTTTTTTCAGATCAAATTTAACCAATTTTGATCATAATTTTTGGTGATATCATGTGGAATTAAAACTATAGAAAATTAAGACCTGAAACTTTTGAATTTAAGATTTTCAAAACTTATTTTTTGAAATTTGATTACTAATAAAATTTTAGTTAATCATGATCAAAATTGATTTTATTTAATAAAAATGTAAGTAAAATATTCAATTTAAGACAAAAGTAATATTAAATAGTGAGCATAGTAATAATTTACATTGTATTGAAATTTTATATGAACCTCCATACTATTCCCATTTTTGTTTTTTTTTTTTTCCAGACGTAATCAAATGATGTAGCTTATACGTAACCTTTCCTACATTTTCCTTCCATTTATGTAATCTTGAACTTTCAAATAACTTTTTCTCATTTTTTTTTTCCCTTCCTTTAAGACACTCACCCAAGTAAATGTCTCAGGCTAATGATTACTGGCAAAATCACATTTTTAGAAACTGGTCACTCCTAATAAATTATTGATGGGTCCATTATCCCCAAAAGCAGGTTCCCATTCCATAAGCACCACAATCTTAGGCAAAAACATGGGGCTTTGGGACCCACTTTACTGATGTACCTAGTCATGTCCCCGTTTTGTTTACAATTACAGTCCAACTCCGAAGACAGTTATCACATTCACATGCAGACATGACAAGCCCCTTTCTAGTGTCGGCAGGACTTCAAGTCATCTTCCACACTCCACGTTAACAGCATGTTACCAATGGCATTTTAGTTACCACATTCTGATCCAGCTTGGTGAGAAGTGCAAAACCCCAAAACCCCTTTTTGATTTTGGGTCAAAAGGGGGCGTGGAAAGCTTAATGCACTATATAAAGAAGGGTTTCAACATAATAATTAAACTAATGGTGAAAGCCCTAATTCAACAAGAATGATTCCGAGAATAAATTAATGAGAAAAGGGAGATTCGTTTGAGCATTTGAAATCCCTAAATTACCCTAGCCCTGCCCACCATCCAAAACTCAAAGAAGGCACACATCACAATTGGATAGTTGGTACATGCTGTTAAACCAAAGGCCTCTTGGCAGGACTAAATGCAAAAGACAATGAAGGAACTAGGAAATGCATCTGATGATGAATGAAGGATTCCGAGTTTTGTTTTCTCCTTTTTAGTCAAAAGAATAAGAAAGAAAGAAAGAAAGTAAAATATCCCAAAAGCAAAACCAAATTTCTGACATCACTCCAGAATTATATTCTTATCATGCAAGTACAACTATTGAGACGGAGGGCTACAAAAGATATGAAAAAATTTTATATATATATAAAATATTGTAAGGACTGAATTAAATATATACTTATGTTTGCTTGAGCTGAAGGACAAAGAACACTGATGATGAGTTTCTACTGCAATAAGTTCAAATGCCATTCCCATAAGGAGAAAATGTATACTTGTAATCATCCCCATCTGCAAATCCAATACTAGGATCCTTCCCTTCCCTAGTCATATTCCTAACACTTTCTATTCTCTCCAGAATTCCCTTAACTGCTAAATCAAATGCATCCTCAAGAGTCTCTAATCTAGACCTTGGATCTGAATAAACTACTCTTGGGATTAGCCTTATTACCTCCTCTCTCAAGGCCAATATTCTATCTTCTGAAATTCCCAGCAATGTTTCATTGAGGTTGATTTTCCATTCGCTTAAATCCTTTACTGGTATGTACACTGAGTATTTAGTATAATTCTTTGGTAAATGCCATGTGTATTGGGCATATGCAGTACCTGGATGGAAAAATACTGGAATACACCCTGCCAAAATTGAGTCGAAAATCGATCTCCTTGTGTATGAATCCCCTGGAGGCTGCAAGCAAAAGATTGAGCTCTGAAAGACTCTCATTACATTAACTGGGTTATCACAATTTGTTGCACCATAATTACAATCCAGTAACTTGCATTGATTCTCTGAAGCTAAGCATTCATCTATAATCTTGCCCCGGATGGAGTTCTGATATTCAGGCCTAGGGGCACCAGCAAAGGAAAAGAGATAGCGCCGCTTTTGCCTTCTCATTCTGTCCTGCCATTGGAAAACCTCACTGTCCTTTGAAGGATGGAAGCATGCCGGGTATGGAATTGCATAATCATTGTTCCAGGAACTTGATTCAATTGACAACATTGACATGTTCTTCGATTCGGGCAAGAACCTAAGCTTGCTACCCCAATCGGATTCATTATCTGTTTGTCTCCTGAAATCCCATGCAATCCTTCCAGCAACTAAGAAATGATCTCTTCCCCACATTCTTTTCCATTCAGGCTTTTCTGCTAGCCACTTAACAAGAATAAGAGAAGCCGAGTCTCTCACTGAAATGTTGAACCCCCAAAGATACATGCTCATATCAAGACCAGCATAGAACGGTACAAAAACAGCTGATGCTTTCAACGAATCATTGGTTAAACACTCATACTTTTTCATCTTGTTGTGAAAGATGACTTCTAACAAGAACTGATTTGTTAAAAACCAGCTATTGTTCAGCAAAACATTTTCAGGGTTTTCAATTTGAGGACCAAAACCAAAGTTTTCTAAGTACGGACACATATTTTTATCAGTTCCCCTAGTAAGCAACCGACAATTCTTAACCAAATCCTTATTAAATCTACTAGCAAGATCGTGAACAAATATATATCTTCCCAAACAAGAATCTAAATGAGGTTCCACTTTCAATTCTTCCTCTCTGTCAGCCTTTTTGTTGGCTTCATCTGTTTTGTTAACCACAACATCGACAAGTGGGCTATTGGGCAATGGAGAAATGCTATCATTAGAACTTTCAGCGAAATCATGGGATAGAGAATTTTGGGTGCTGATTGCATTTGCATGATTGTTATCCAAAATAGCGACCCCATTATTTCCACCAGTTATAGCTGAGTAATCAAAGCAAAGCAACTCAAAACAGAAAACCAAGGAGACTAACAGCACAAACCAGCGTTGATTGTTGCAGCACTTCGCAGCGATGGTCTTTTCCATCTTCTCTGAACAGGCTTCTCTCCTCTGCAACTTCCCAAAATTACACCTAGAAACAGGGGGGAAAATGGAGAGAGTTTTGAGAACAGCATAAAAGCAAGTGAGAACAGTGTTTGTTTGGTTTTTTAGTGGAAGCGTTGTTTCCCTGATCCGAGGCTTAATGTACTGAGGAGAACCTTAATTTGAGGTGAAGGTGCAGGGGGTTCCGTTGTCATTTACTTCTTGCATTGGACAAAGGGAGCTTTAAAGTGTCAGGATTTGTGCCAAACTTATTGACTGAGGAGGCAATGTGGGTCAGGGTCACCATCCCCTTTGTTTTCTCTCACCATATCTAAAAATAGGGGGTTCTTCTCGTGTTCATGTGAAAGTTTAAATGGTTACTAAGTTTGTCCAAACCCAAGAAAAGAAAAAGTGGGGTGCACAAAAAATGCAGTTTTTAGTAAGCTTCTTCTGTTTTTTTGTTTAAAGTCCAACGAAAATTTGGATAAATGAACAAAATTTAGATAAAATTTCTTACATTGTTTATTCAAGTTCTTTCATGCTGATTAAAATTATTTTATTATTTCATACCAAATCAATAACTCTAAACTTTGTGACTTGTTTGATTTTAAACTTAATACTTGTATACTTACAAGTCACGAAGCATGCATTAATTGTGAAGGTAAAGGCGAATCAAAAGTAGTTTATTGGCATGAAACAATGGAACATAAAGATTGGAAGAGATTTTTGGGTTGGCGTGTTTATATCCCACCGACAGAAGTGAAATGCAGCACCTTCTTTCATGCCTAGCAACTGAATGAAACATCAATTATTGCATGGCAGCAATGACAATGGCATGAGTTTCGTGGGGTACCCTAATTTAATTTCCCTTCTAATCTTCCAATTCAGAGTAACAAGCCCCCGCCATGGAAGCATGCATGTTGGGGGCCTGGGGCATGCAAACCAGTCCAAGTTATTCTTAGATTTGCCAAAAACTAAAAAACAAAAATAACTTTTATTAATTACTTTTTTTCTGGGTTCATCAACGAATTTGACCAGTAATTTTTGATAAATTTCAATGAATTAAATGAATATATTACTTTTCAGAGTAACATTAATAA